CTGAGCCATCATGTCCTGGGATACCTCCTGGGCTGCTATCCCGCGGATCACGACTTTGGCATTGTCAGATAGCGTGGTGAGACTGCCTTGGTCAGGGCTCCAAGGAGCGAAACCCATGCTCACAGGCAAGTTCGACTCTTGCATCGTCCACTGGTCAGCCAAGACTGCTGTTGCGATACCCTTGGCAGGAGTCATGAGCTGAACTGGCTGAACACCGTTTCTTGTTGTAGAATCAAATGAGGAGACATGGTGCGGCAGCGCGTACATGACCAGCTTGCCATCAGGATGACCATCTTTGGCAAACTTGAACGTGTACGAGCCCGTAGTGCCGCTCACTGAGCCCGACAGCGCGACTGTCGTGGGATAAACACCGGCCGCCTGGTCAAGCAATGCCTCTCCGTTTCCGGGATCCTTGGCGACTTGGATAATTCCGTAGAAAGGCTGCGTTGATTGGGCGAGACCGTTGTTGACAACCTGCAGGTTAAGCTGGGATCCGGTGGTTGCATATGCGTACAACCGCCAGATCTTGCCGTCTTCGAGCTGGAAAGTGTACTTGGCAACGCCGGCCTTGGGGTCCTGTGTCACCCGCGTAACCGTCCTGAAAAAGACTCCCGTGCGGATCACGGGGGTCGCGCCGGCATACTGGGCTGTGATGAAGGGCATTCCTTGGACGAGAGGGAAAGAAACCGCCGGCACAGCTTGGGCATTCGGCTTCAGGTGAATTGTTGCAGAGAAGGCCGTGATGCTGTCGATTCCCACCGCGGTGTCCGACCCGAGCTCCTGAGCGCTAATTACCATTGATTGAATACCTACCGGGTTAATGAAATAAGACGCAGCTCCAGAATCCGCCTTGGTCGGGCCGAAGACACGCTGGCTCGCTTCGATGTGGGAAATCGTCATGCCGTAGCTGGCAGCGGCCCCTCGTCCTGCCCCCCATGCTATGCCGTAAGGGTAGGTGTACGTCGGCGCCGTCTGGTCTCCGAGGAAGAAGTTGGAGTAAAACTTGTTTGTCTGAATCGGTGAGCTCGAGGTGATGCCCTTTCTCGGAACCGGGTGATCACTGCGGGCAGAGATGGTGCCCGGGGGTGCCCCAGTGCCAATGGGCTCAGAAAAGATGTCTCCGGAAGGCATTGGTGCAGACGGAAGTGGCGCAACTGAAGTAGCAGGCGCCGCTGTGTCGATGAGAGATGAAGGCGTCGGAATAGGGTTTGACATAAGAGGGCAAGACGTAACCTTGCCCGATGCAGTAAGACCAGTCGCAACGTATCCAGAAGTTTGAGGCGCTGTGTTGGTTAGAGATGGCAAGATCACTACTGTTCCGCTAGCTTCGGCGCTGGTGACGACGTTGGGAACCTGGGAGTTATCCAATGCTGGTGCCGATGTTTGCTGTGATCCTTTCGTGGCCCTGACTGTTACGGTTACGTTCGCCGTCTCTGTCAGGCAAGCTATATCACGACTATCGAGGAGTAAAGCCCGGACGTTCAATTGGCCGAGAGACACCGAATCCGGGTGAGTATCGTGAAGGCGAACGTGTTGCTGGTGAAATAGGGCGAGTGCGTTCTCGCAGAGGAGGACCTGTATCAAAGTTAGCCTGAGGATCCCCATTTTCTTATGAAAGCCCGCCATTGCGGGGGAGGCAATGATCTTATTGTGTTAGTATGAGGTTGTAGAGGATGTTCAAGCCTGTTTCTGGCTTTTGGGGTGATGTTAGGTAGCGCGTGGCAGGGAGAGAAGTTCCTCAATTCTGCATGAGGTAGTATAGGAGCGGTGCTCCAACTCATATAAACAGGTGTCATGGTGAAAGCAGCCACACATCAACAATGGACAGTCCTCGGTGAACCGATAGTGGTAAGCCCACGGGTGGGATTGCCGCAGTCCAGAACGTGAAGATTTGCAGCGTTACCGCGCAACGTATGGGCCAAGAATGTGAAGGGAATGTACCGGTCCCAGAAACAATGGATAGGTCTCACCTGGTTAGGAATGCAGAGCGGCTTGCCGGGGAACTAGGTCTAGGTACAGAGCAATGAGAGCCGCGTGATGAGATAGGATAAGGTGCTAGGCACTGAGGGATCGCGATCAATCAAGACAGGTAGGCGTCGGTGGTGGCCGTGTCTTGATGGCAGCAGAGGCTTCTTGAGTCTTTGCCCAAGAGCTGATGAAGCGACGATGATGTTGTGGCTGGCAACAGCGGCACTGGCAATGGTCTGAGGACCGCGTTGGGCGACAAGACGCGATGCAGCCGCAAAAAGACCGGCAAGTAAGATAAAGACAAGGTAGGTATGTGTACTGGTTCAACTAGGCGGTCTTGGGTCTTTTTCTGGCAAGCGCAATTGGAGAGAGATGTTGCGATGGGGAGTCTCGACTCATGAGGTTAAGTATGCACGATTAATGCAGCACCCAAACGAAACGACCCTCTTTGGCTGACGCGTGCCTGCCCTTGGCGTGGAGACTCTTCGGCATCCAAGCTGCCGCTTGACAGTCCGAGAAGGGAGGGGAAATCAGCCAATATTGGCAAAAATGACCGGTGCAATTGACAGAGCAACAGGTCACTTGGCCTCGAATACGATGGTATGCACGTATAATTGAGACCCGTTGGGGCGAAAAGAATGACTTCCATCTCCAGGGACCAAAGCCATGGAGGGGCATATCGTCGTCCCTCTCTTTGCCTTTAGCGAGACACTCGGGCCAGTGACGTAAGAGTAATGGCATCGCTGACTTTTGAGCAGCTGGATCGGGGTGGTAACTGCAACTACAGGCCATTGTTGCGAGAGCAGATGTTGAGCTGAGGTTGACGACAGTGGTCAGAAGATGCCCTTTGCTGACGCATTGGCGACAAGAGGTTGCTTCTTCTCAGTGTAACCAGCTTCTTCTGCCTATCACCAGGCAATATGATCTTGGAGAAATCCTTGGCGTCATCTTGGCGAATGTCAGTGACCACACTTGGCTTGCTGCTGTGAACTGGAACATGTGCAGATGAATTGTACAATTCGATGAAGGTAGCGTCAGGCGAAAGATGGTGTCGGAAGTGTAGTCTGCATCATATAATGGATAGTAATAGTAGTCAATTGAAATCGCAGAGCCAATCGCGGGTATCGAAAGCAAGTTTACTCCCAAGCGCCCCAAGCGCCTATAATGAACCGTATACCAGAAACCAAGAGAATGTTGCTCCTCTTGCACAGTCTCATCTTTTCTTCTCCAGGCTATTAGCCCCAGACCTGCCCAGCTTGTAAACGCGGTACCGATCTTCCACGGCCTCGGCAGCAGCGGTGTGAATAGCCGTAGCATCTGGCCTCATGACCGGCCGACTGTCTCCTCCTTTCTTGATCTTGTAGGCTGTATAACGGTCTTCCGCGGCCGGACTCGGGGCCGGCCTCGCGACTCGTTGAGGCTGCTGTTCTTGGGTTGAGTGCCCCCTCTTCAGACTGTAGGCACGATATCGGTCCTCCACGACCGACGCAGCCGTAGCCTCAGTCGGTACCGCCGCGATGACTTGGCCAGCATGCGCAATCGGGCGCGATCCGTCTCCTTTCCTCAACTTGTAGGCACGGTATCGATCCTCCACGATAGGTGCAGCCGCAGCCGCAGTTGTAGTTGGAACTGCCGTCAAGACCTGGCTGGTCTGTACCATCGGCTGCGATCCATCTGCTTTCTTCAACTTGTATGCACGATACCGGTTCTCCTGCGCAGCCGCCGCCTCGGCAGCCTCAGTCTTGCGCCGCATCTCCTCCTCCTCCTTCTTCCTCTCCTCGCGCCTCCTCTCCCTCTTGCGCTTCCTCTCCTCGCTCTCGGCATCCCTCATCCCTTCCTTCTTACACTTCCGAATCTGCCTCTCACTAAGCACCCACGGCGGCAGAAGCACCTCGTTCCGGAACCGCGTGCGCTTCTCCCACAGCGCCACTTCTTCCTCCGTGGACCGGAGAATCTTGACCTTTTCGATCCTGATCTGCATCTCCTCACGGAACATAGCCAGTCCTCCCTTGATATCGATGACGGTGCCGACATCTACGTCGACGCAGTCGGCAGGAGGCTGCGGCTGCGGTCGTTTGGTGAACCACCCGTTGGTGTCCAGATTGGTAGCGCTGTTGTCGGACGGCGGTGTCTTTGTCGCGACTGTGCATTCGATGCAAGCCCCGCTGCTGTCGTCAACCGTGTAGATGCGCCGGCCCGGGAAGTCGTCCACGGCGACGACGATGCCGACGATGCGTGCCCATTTGATAGGCAGGTTCTTGTAGAAGTAGAAGTTTTGAACTGCAGCATGTATTCACTCGTCAGCCTGTGGAGCCACGCACACTGGGCATGTTGGCGGCAATTTTACCTTCATATTCAGGCACGGTCTTCAGGGCGTGTACGTCGGATGCCTGCATGAGGCACCATGTGTTGAAGGTTGGGGAGCGTTGCAGGCAGTACTGCGGATAGAGGCCGCCTATTGATACATCGCTCGTCATGGCATTGTCGGTTGAGGATCACTTTGGCATCCTCAAACAAGACCTGACCGTGGAATGTCGTGATAGTCAGCTGCAGGTTACCTCGGATGGGAGCGGTCGGCCGTTCTGAGGCTCCGAAAGCGCGTCGCGTTGGAACATGTACGTGATAGAGGGAGATTCCGTTCTTTGGGGAAAAGTAAACTTTCGTGGTTGACCTGGGGATGTTTTAGCGACTGCAGTGCTGAGTGCCCCGCCTTGTGGCGCTACCGTTCAGGACCCCATGCTGATACAAGTGCTACCTCACATTACCTCACCTTAACTAGTGACATGAAGCACTTTGCATCCAAATAGTGCTAGAGTAAAGCACTCGTCACCATCCGCCAAGTTGGGAGTTATCGAACATGATCGTGAAGACGTGGAAGGTCTCCAAAAATTCAGAAATATCACTTTCATTCATGCGATTGAGTCCCATACCAAGATTCCATATCCTTGCCGGTTTCCCCCAAGCCTTAGACGCCAATCCAGAAATGCCATGTTTTACCGCTTCGATCTTCTTCCCGCTTTGGCAGGTTTGCTTTAATCTGCCTTGGGCTTCTTCAGCCGTGCAGCTGCAGCCTGGAATGCCTCTTCTGACGGCTCTTCCTCCTCCACGACCCTCTTCTTGCCCTTTTTAGGCTGGCTGGTGGCTCCATACTTGGCAGCGAGATCGTCCAGAAAACCTGCACGTTTTTGCTGGTTGCCCTTAATGAGCGCGGCCAGGTCGGCCTCTCCATTATCCTTGCCCTTCTTCTTGCCCTTGCCCTTTTTGTCGCCAAAGAGCTTATCGTGAACTCCAAGCTCTTTGGCGTACTCCTCGGCCTCGTTCGCCTCGCCCTTTGCTGCCTTGACGCGAGCCGCTTTTGACAGCTTGCTCTCCTTTGTGTATCGCTTGTATGCCTGGACATCTTCGCTGGCAATAGCCTCGTCGATGATCTGGCGGAACCGTTCGTCGTCCTCGAGCACGTCGCTTAGCATGACTGATTCGTAGATCCCGTCCATGTCGCCCTTGGAGTTTTCGTAGGCGATCAAGACGTCGTCCTTCTCCTCGTCGGAGCCCTTGTACTTCTTGGCAAACTTTTCGATGGCTTCTGCAGAGATCGCATCTTGGAATTGCTCGCGGTAATAGTCGGACCAGTTGAAGCCCTCGGAGTCGATAATGGACTCGGATGTAGAGCCGGTTGTGTCGTATCGCTTGCGTCGTGCCGGGTCAGAGAGAATGGCGTATGCGAAAGCGATGGCTTGGAACTTTTCCTTCGCCTCATCTCTCTGGTCGTCGGAGACCTTGTCTGCGCGAGAAGTAATGTCAGTCATGCCCCACGACGATGGTGGGCTGCTCCCTCTTACCTGGGTGGTTCTTGAGTGCTGCTTTTCGGTAGGCAGACTTGACCTGTTCTGGTGTAGCCTCGCGTCCGAGTCCCAAGATCTCATAGGGGTCGATCTCTGGGGGACTGTCGTCAACAAGCTCGTCGGGAGATGACATTTTGAAGGCTGTGGGGATGTGAATGTTGGGTTGATGATAGACAGAAAGCCCACTCAGAGCTCTGCGACGCGCTCAAGCTCGCGGAGACGCGCCTGCTAAAGTGGTGGGGCGCATGCGTTTAAGCACCGGGTCGATTAGCAGTCCGTGCGTCGAGAAAGTCGGCGAAACGGGGCTTGCGGCACCGATGCGCTGAGCTGAGGCAAGAGCTTCACTCCCTGCCCCTCTGCCCCTCCCACGATGACCGGCTCACTGATGAAAGCTACTTTTTGTAGCTGATCCATCTCATGTGAGAGTCCATTCCAGCCCAATTCGTCTTGCAGTATTGAAACATCTCAAAGCACTCGGGGAACCCTCATAATTTCACTTGTCGCACTGTACTCGAAGTAATCCAGTCAACTCCCGTATATCCTGAAAATGGCATCAGAGGTTGAGGGCATTCAACCAGCACCGATAGCGCCAGGCGACCACGAGGGGTACCTCCAATATGCGCTCTCGCTGGCGAAACAGTCACCACCAAAGCCGACAAATTACAGAGTCGGAGCGGCCCTCGTCAACCCCGCCACCAACACAGTCATCTCGACGGGCTACACCTTGGAGCTGCCAGGTAACACGCACGCCGAGCAGTGCTGCTTCATGAAGCTGGCCCAACAGCACGACGTTACCGAGGAGGAGCTGGGCTCCGTCATCAAGACGCCGCTTGTGCTCTACACGACCATGGAACCGTGCTCGACGAGGCTCAGTGGGAATCTGCCCTGTACCAAGAGGATTCTCCAGCTGCGGTCTTTTATCAAGACCGTGTACGTAGGTGTCCAGGAGCCGGAAAAGTTCGTCAAGGATAATACCGGACGGAGCGCGCTCGAGAGGGCGGGTGTCGATTTCGTGCACATCAAGGGGCTCGAAGGCGATATTCTCAAGGTGGCTACGGCGGGCCATGTCAAGCCTGCCCAATAGCAACGGGTTGAGATCAATGATGCTTTGGTTGCGTGTTTGCTCGATGCTTCCAAATCGCCGGTGGGCTGCCGCCAATGCTGGCGTATGCGGTGGTCCGCTGTCATGCAAGGGTGCGCGCTGTGGGATGACGACAAACTGCCTTTCACAAGTTGTTTTCTAACTGCGTTCACAACGAGGGCGTTTGCGGTGTTGAGAGGAAAATAGGGAGAGGGCATCATTGTAAAATCTGAACAATTTGAAATGATCCTCCAAGCTGCATACTCTACTTTTTGTGCCTCCTCAACTTGAGGTCGTGTAACGCTCCACGCTTTCGCTCTCTCAATCTCTCGAGTCGTTGGTAGTCGTACTTGGGCACCAACTTACTCATCTACCTAGGCACACTAGGTAAGGTAGCTTGGCACATCCTGATGTAAGGTACAGTGGGGACCCATTAGTGTCCATACAGCGCACAGTATCCCGCAAAATCAGGGATTTTCAACAGTAAAAATAAGCATTAAGCATAACAATAAAAATAAAAATAAAAACATAATATAATATATTAAGTAATAATTTATTATGTTAAAAAGTTATATTAGGTTTTGTATTAAATTCGTTGTGTTATTAAATCTCTATTAAAATATAATAAGATGAATTTTATTTATAGTGGATTATAGGGCGTTAAGAGTGCGAATAATACTGTGTTTGTTAGTACGTTTTTAAAAAATTCGGGTACTAGTTTTTTAACTATTAATTAAGTAATAGAGAAAATTACTAAAATTTTATAAAAATAATTTTCATATTATTTCAATAGTAAAATATTTTTAAGAATTTTCTTAGTTATAATTATCACCTAAATAGCAGAGATATTACTTATATTAGTATAATGAAGTTAGTGGGTTTACGCTGACGCACTGGGAGGTGTATTGAAACTAATGGGTCCTCACTGTATGCATGCAGTTAACCTGCGCTGGATCTCCAACGCAGCTAATCGCCCGGTAACCGCTGCCAGGTCCCTTCTCAGCCGGCCCCACCCCAAACGACGGACTGCAATGATGCGCTACTTCGATAGCGATTGCACGATATGCTAGCTTGGAAATCGTGAGCTTCATGTTACTTAAATGCCAGATATAAAACGCTTTCTCGACTTGATAGCATATGACTCCCGAAGAAAGCAAGGTAAGTGCCATAGCAGAGCGAAAAACTTGATGACATGGATAATCAGCAGCCACAATTCCGCCTTCCCGGTGGTTCTGGTCCGGCCAGCTGCCGATTGCAAACCAAATGATCGTACCCCTCACTCAAGGTAGGCACTCCATTTGTTTTTGCTTCCCTGCTGTGCAGATACACACCGCTCCTTTTTGCTTTCTGCATTGGCTTGACCTCGCCTGCAGTCTTGGGCTTGACTGCATCGTCAACGACGTTCAGAACAGCAGAACACGCACGCATCTACCGGTAGGAAAGCACCGGCAAAGTGAGAAAACTAGGGATGGTGTCTTTATACCCTTAAATAGTTATGGTCGTAAGTTGAGGCGAGGTCGGTCTGTACTGGTCGGCTTAGTCATGGGCCATATACCTGGCAGGCAGTCTATCGGGAGTTGGGGACTGGTGTGGGTGTGCTTTTGCAACCATCTTGTGTACTTGCGAAGCTGATCAAACGCATTCAACCAATCGGGAGTGCGCCTGGATATCTGGGTTTGTGCATGCACCGTTAGTATGCCAGGGCGTTGGCTGAGCCACCTGGGGAGCAATGAGAGAAAGACAGCTGGTTGCGAGCTTCAAGCAGACGTTGGTGCTTGGGCGAAGGAGGCCATCCTCCCCCGCCCTTTTTACACTTTGATGTTGCGTCGCACAGAGTACTTTTTACCACAGTAGTTCAAGTTCTTTGATAGGGTGATACACACCGATAATAGGTCCCAATGACGGTTTCCAACGATTGCATTACGTCCCTGTGCAAACTGTCAGCTTGGGCATCGTCAGTTTGGCTTGCCTTGGACAAATCATCCATATTTATCTGCAGGTGCTCTCACAACAGTGGGAAGCTACGAAACTGCCTGCCACCCTGATTGAGCCTCTTTTTGCACCATAGTGACCTTCACCTTAAGCTTAAGTAGGTAGTCGCTCCTCCGAAGCTACCCCGGACTTCCAAGTACCGTCGTGAAGGAGCCGGAAAGACCCTTTTTGACTTTCTCTGGTGCAGTGCCCCACTTCAGACACACAAGGATACCCGCCGCCTCCCTACCGGGACTGAGATCCACTACCTACCTACATACTTTCACCCATCCCATCTCCCATCTTTCACGCTGGACTAACGCAACACCTCCAACCCAAGATCATCAGCTGAGTAGCGTTTTGTTACCTTGGCTTGATTGTTTTACCTTTGACGGCCTCCCGCGTCGGTTGCCCTTGGTACTTTCATCATTTGTCAACCATTGTTCTTTTTGCTTTAATTCGCCATTGGCCAAATCATTGCACTTTTCCGTTTGGCATGCCGTTTGCTGGCCGACGTCAAATGTGCCTTCTCCCCCGAAAGCATACTTGACCTGGGCTCTTTCATGCTTACACGTTGACGACGCAGGGCACATAAATAAGCCAAGGAATATCTGAATACAGTCTCGTTCAGTAAGTAGCGCTCCCACAGTTCGTGTTGCCGAGCACTGGAATCTCAATTGAACTTGTAACTGATTTGTTATGTAGCTTCAGCTTTACTGAACATCCCTTCACTTATTCAATGGCTGACTCTGGACGTGGTGGCCGGGGCGGTGGCCGTGGTGGCCGGGGAGGAGATCGTGGGGGCCGTGGTGGAGATCGTGGAGGCCGTGGTGGAGGAGGGCGTGGAGGCGGTGACTTCCAACCTAGAGGAGGCGGCGATGGCGGCGGCTTCCGAGGTGACCGAGGCGGCGGACGTGGCGGCTTTAGAGGAGACCGCGGCGGCCGTGGTGGCGGTCCTGGAGGTGATCGTGGTGGCCGTGGTGGTGGCTTCCGAGGTGACCGGGGTGGCGGTGGCTTCAGAGGTGACCGGGGAGGACGAGGCGGCTTTGACCGCGGTGGACGAGGTGGTGGTGGACGAGGTGGTTACGGCGGCTTCAGAGACCCATTCGAGAATGAGTCTCAATTCTTCGGGTAGGTTCAAGATCACAGCCATCGCTAAAGCTCGACTAACTCTCAGCAGTCAGAACAAGCCAATTCCCCAACCCGATCGCGGCACAATCGAGCTCGAGAATCGCATCATCAAGGCTCACCAGTCTGAGGACGCCCAACTTTTCAAGAAGATGAGCTCGATGACGCTCACTGAAGCGAACTCGGCCGCACTCATGCCCCGTCGCCCTGCCTACGGGACCAAAGGCAAAAAGGTCATCCTGTGGGCCAACTACTTCCACCTCACCGTCAACCCTGACGCCGTTTGGCGGTACAACCTTGAAGTCCGCAAGGGCGAAACTAAGGAGAAGGAGTCTACACCTAAGGGCAAGGGCAAGGGCAAGGAGAAGGCCCAGCCTGGAGGTGGTGGCAGCAGTAGCGGCGGCGGCGGCAGCGATGGCCCTCCATCTTCCATCCCGGCTCGCAAATTGAAGATCATTCTTCAAGCTGCTCTCGAAGAGTTGAAGAACCTTGAGCCAAACGCCATTCTCGCCACCGAGTTCAAAAGCCAGCTCATCTCTCTGAAGAAGCTCAAGTTGGCCGTCAACCCCATCAAGGTTATCCTCAGGCAGGAGAATTCCGACAGGTCAGAGAGCTACCTGGTTAAGATCGTTGGCGAAACAGCAGCTCCATTGAAGGAGATGAAGGAGTATCTTCAGACCATGATTGACAAGAGCGACCCGGACGAAGCCAACTTCCCTAGATTTGCAGCCTCTGTCGACGCTCTAGGCGTCATTCTCGGCTACACTGCCCGTAAGAACGACCAGGTCACTGCTATTGGCAAGGGCCGGTTCTTTCCTTGGGGTCAAGGATCTACCAGTCACCAGCTTGGCCAACAGGATCCTCTCACGGCTATTAGAGGATACTTCCAAAGCGTGAAACTGGGCACAGGGTCAATGCTCTTGAACGTCAACGTCACCCATGGTGTCTTCAAGATGCCCGTCAGTATTCGCGACCTTTGCCTTTGGTCTCAGGTCGATGTCTTCCAAAGGAGCCCTGCAGATGCCACACGGAACATCACCAGACTTCGCGCCTTGTCCAAGTTTCTGGCTCGCACTCGTGTCGAGATCAAGTTCAAGGATGCAAAGGGACAAGAGATCACCCGTAAGAAGACGGTTCTCGGCCTTGCATACAGGGGAGACCTCAGGAGCAACGATGCTAGAATTGCGGATCCATGGCACTACGGTGGCCCTCGCCAGGTGTCCTTCAGGATGGAGCCAGCAGACGGACAAAGGACGGTGATGAACAACAGACCGCCAGGCATGTACACCGTCGAGCAATATTGGACCTGGAAGTACGGCACAGCTCCCGATCTCACCTTGCCTCTCGTCAACCTTGGAACCCGCGAAAAGCCGACATTCTTCCCAGCTGAGCAGTGCACCATCATTGCCGGCCAAGCTGTTCGCGCAAAGCTCAACGGCCAGGAGACGACCGAGATGCTCAACTTTGCTTGTCGATCCCCCTTTAGCAACGCCATCTCCCTCACTTTCGACAGCTGCAAAGCTTTGGGCCTCGACAGCGAGGTTGTCAAGGACTTTGGCCTCAAGGTCGACAAGAATCTCTTGACCGTCCACGGTCGCGAGTTAATCGCGCCTAATCTTTCGTATGCGAACAAGAGCATCACCGCTTCAAAAGGCTCATGGAACATGATCAATGCCAAGTTTGCCAAGGCGGGACCCAATATCAGTAGCTGGACATGGGTGCGTATCAAGGACCGATACTCAAGGAGCTCGAAAAGTGAAGTGGAACGAGTCGTCGGCGCCTTTGCTCAAGAGCTTAGGACCAACGGCATGAGCCTTTCGGCTCCTATTGAACTTCCAGATCACGAAGTAGCCGACAGCGCCGGCGCAATCGCTGATCGTTTCAAGAAGCTGGACGAGTACTTCAAGTTCAAGAAGCACAATGCCAAGGGTCTCTTCTTGCTCATCGTCCTTCCCAGACAGGATACTGGATTGTACAGCACCGTCAAGAAGCTCGCAGATACGGTGTATGGCTTCCACTCTGTGTGCGTTGTGGAGAAAACCTTCATGAAGGACAACAAGCAGACCTATGCCAACGTCGGCCTCAAATGGAACCTGAAGAATGGTGGTGTCAACCACATCGTCAAGGATCCTATTGACATTGTCAACCAGGGGAAGACAATGATCGTTGGCTACGACGTCACTCACCCGACCAACATGCCAAATGACAAGAATTCGGCACCCAGTCTGGTCGGCTTGGTCGCCAGCGTTGATAAGGACATGGGTCAATGGCCGGGCGTCGCTTGGGAACAGGACAGTCGTCAGGAAATGCTTGGTAACGAGCTGGTCACCCACTTCAAGCGTCGCCTCGAGCTCTGGAGAGCGCACAACAAGGGCAACCTTCCGGAATACATCGTCATCTACCGTGATGGCGTGTCTGAGGGTCAGTTCACGCAAGTCCTCGATATTGAGCTGCCCATGATCCGTCAAGCGTGTACCGCGATGTACGGTAACCGCAGGCCCAAGATCTCGATCATCGTCTCTGTCAAGCGCCACCAGACTCGATTCTATCCGACCTCGGAAGCTGACATGGATCCCAAGTCGCGCAACATCAAGAACGGCACGGTTGTCGATCGTGGAATCACTCAAGCGCGTTACTGGGATTTCTTCCTTACAGCTCACACTGCCTTGAAGGGCACCGCCCGCCCGGCTCACTACACGGTGCTCTTGGACGAGATTTTCCGCGATAAGTATGGTGTCGGCGACAGAGCGGCGGATAACCTGGAGAAGCTCACCCACGACCTCTGCTACTCGTTTGGCCGAGCGACCAAGGCCGTCAGCATCTGCCCCCCGGCCTATTACGCAGACATTGTGTGCGAGAGAGCTCGCGTCCACCGGCCTGAGCACTTTGATGCGTCGGAAGCGTCGGAGACTGGCAGTACCGTTGGTGGCCCGTCGACTTTGAGCGTCAGCGTGCATGAGAACTTGAAGGACACAATGTACTACATATGAGATTGTTTGTGTGTCGGCGAACCGGAAGCGATTGCATCAGACAGCGGGCAAAATGGAGAGCAGGGCTTGTTGACAGGATGGGAAACAGACGCTCTGCAGCAGGCGTGCTTAGAATAGACTTCCGAGATCAATCACAGCGGGTATCCACGTAGAAGATATCTCCCTCGTGGAAACAGGTCCTTCTTGCGTGACCAGTGCTTTCCGGCTCAATTGAGCCGAGTTGCTGTTCTTGTTCCGACTAGTCGCCCGATGGCGTTCGGGTCCGGAGCGGCCTCGAGTAAGACGGGGAATCGGCGTGCTGTGCTATTGGCTTCATGTTGACGTCAGTGGGGATCTGGTGAGGGGCAGCTCTCTCGTGGCGGGGTAAGCTATTTGCTCAGACAAGGAGCTGCGACAAGACAGACGGAGCCCAGCTCGACAGTGACAAATCGTCATGCACTTTTTTCCCAGCTGTTATATCCGAAAGGCTCCATCTAATGCAGCTTCGATCCCCGAAATAATTGTCAAGACTCCCCCCCGCTCCCAAACTTCCTGAAAGCAACCATTGCATGAACCAACCTTGTTGCTTCTATGAACGCCCTCCGAGCCTTGCAGAGAATTAAGCTTATACAGAACACACTTTCCACGAAACCTATCGGTGAGTCTTGTATAATGGCTTGGCGCTCATGGGCTCCCAATCTCTTCTGCCTCATCGCCGAGATGCAGTGTAACTGATTGCGGTTTGTGTCTTTAGGACGAATCAGTCAATTCGCGACCATGGCTGCCACGACGGATGTCAAGAACTACAAGTTCAACCACTCGAGTAAGTTGGTACATGACCGATTCAGAAATATTTGCTGATAAATCTCAGTGATCCGAGTGAAGGACCCCAAGGCTTCGGGTATGCACCAATCATCACCACTCATCTTCCAGCACCCCTATTGACACCCCGGCTTCACAGTAAAGTTCTACGAGACCCTCGGTATGAAGGTCATCAAGCAGATCCAGCAGCCCGAGGCCAAGTTCGACCTCTACTTTTTGGCTTACGACTCGCCCAATGCGCGGTCCGCCGGCAACGGCACGTTCGACCGTGAGGGCATCATCGAGCTGACACACAACTACGGCACCGAGAACGACCCGGAGTACAAGATCAACAACGGCAACACGGAGCCGCACCGCGGGTTCGGACACACCTGCATCAGCGTCGACAACATCCAGGCGGCGTGCCAGCGCCTCGAGGACGCCGGGTACGCGTTCAAGAAGAAGCTGACGGACGGCAAGATGCGGCACATTGCGTTCGTGTTGGATCCCGATCAGTACTGGGTTGAAATTATCGGCCAGAAGCCGATTGAGCAGACGGAGAGTATCACCACCACGGATGTGACCACCTACAGAATGGTGAGACTACCTGTCTTTATTTTGGGCCCTCTTTGACGCAGGAACCGCTGACAAATACCCTCTGTGGACGTAGAACCACACGATGCTCCGCGTCAAGGACTACGAAAAGTCGCTCAAGTTCTACCAGGACGTCCTGGGCATGACGCTGATCCGCAAGAACGAGGCCAGCGACTTCACCCTCTTCTTCCTGGCCTACGGCGACCTCAAGGAGGGTGAGAGCCAGGCGCAGCGCGAGGGCATCCTCGAGCTGACCTGGAACCACGGCACGGAGAAGGACGAGAGCTTCAGCTACCACAACGGCAATGATCAGCCCCAGGGTTTCGGTCACATTTGTGAGTTTTCTTTTACTGCATCTAACTGAGTGAGGTCAAAGGATACTAACAAGAGGATAGGCGTCACGGTTGACAACATTGACGCCGCGTGCGCGCGTTTCGAGGAGTTGAAGTGCAACTGGAAGAAGCGCCTCACTGACGGCCGCATGAAGAATGTTGCTTTCTTGTTGGATCCTGATAACTACTGGGTCGAGGTTGTTCAGAATGAGAAGTTTGCCGGCAAGGCCAACTTTTAAGCGCTCATTTTGGGAGATCACTTTCAGGAACAGGAACATTATGAGTGGCATGATATGAGATGAGGCGAAGGCATTGTGGAACGGCGTTTGGTGAGAGGCGGCAGTTGGGCGGGTTGAGTGAAATGAGTATGAGGCGTCTTAAAAGTTGGTGGAGTTGCCCCAGGAGTCTTCGAGCTCATCTCAGGCGGGTGTTTGGTGAGGTGTCGATAGGAGCCTCAAGTATGGCATGTGAGGCTTTCTTCAGAAAAGAAAATCAAATCATTTAATCGTAACATTGCAGATGTCTAAATCTCCACGATCTGATTCCAAACTGCATGAGTGGCTGATGCTGATGTGAGGATTCCAAAAGTTGACCCGGTGGATCCTCGGATAACGGGCGCGTCGTGGAATCCTTTGCCGTGATTCCATCATGATTCCACGCTGTGGCGCTTGCAGTGCCGCTGTGGCGGGAGCTCCAAAGCGAGCCCGGACCCCGGGGACCCTCGCACTGCAGAACCACACCCCGCCAAAAGTCGTTGACGCAACAGGTCGCCCTCAGCTTCTCACTGGCCACAGCTACAAATCATTGGACAACCCGAGCTCCGATTTGTCACTCTTGCCCTCCACTGCCTCACTTCTCACCCCTCGTCCTGTAACATCTTCAGACGACGTTCTTATATAAACCTCCCTCCAACCTCAACCTTCAATTACCTAGTGATCAGAACAACCTCAAACTCACCGACTCATAAGACTGGTGAGACACACTGTACCTCGCGATCCAGAAGAGAATTGCCCGCCAAATGCGATTCTCACCCTTCCTCTCAACCCTCGTCTACACCTTTTCCAACTTTTCCCGCGTCCGCGCCGCGCAGTCCCTCGGCACCCAGGCGCCCCTCGCAGCGAACCGCCAGCTCCGCGCTTCCATGCCCTCGATCCCGTTCCTGGGCGCTCTGTTTGGATCTTCCGCTTCGCAGCAGGATAAGATGTCGTACCCCGATAAGAGGTCTGATGATGAGTGGCGGGCTGTTTTGAATAAGGGTATGTCTGCTATATTCTCACTTTATCTCATAAATGGCGTCTCTCATAAAAAGCCGGGCTTTCATGAGACGAGCAGTGCCTATAGCCCGCGAAGGATATGTAATGGATGAGGCTAACATCTCATCAGAACAATTCCGCATCCTCCGCGAAAAGGGCACCGAACCCCCCGGCTCCGGCAAGTTCGACAAGCACTACCCTTCCGAGGGCGTCTACGCCTGCGCCGGCTGCGAGGCCCCGCTCTACAAGGCCACGCACAAGTTCAAGTCGGGCTGCGGCTGGCCGGCCTACTTTGACTCGTTGCCGGGCGCCGTCGTCCGCCACGAGGACCGCATGTTCGGCATGACGCGCACCGAGATTGTGTGCGCCAACTGCGGCGGGCATCTGGGTCACGTCTTCAAGGGGGAAGGGTTTGACACCCCGACGGACGAGAGGCACTGTGTTAACAGTGTCAGTTTGACGTTTGCGCCGGAGGAGAAGAAGGGCGGGGAGGGGAGTGCTGAGGGTACGAAGGGGGAGAGTAAGGTTTGAAAGAGTGTGCAGTGTGCTCGGTAAGATTGAGGGCGTTATGGCGTGGTGAGGCCGGGTGTTGATAGTCGTTTTTGAGGCTTCTGTTTGGGCAGAGTGAAGTGACTACGTGCGGCGCTGGATGTATGAACAGTTGCAGGAGGGGAGATTTGGAGTTCGAGTACAAGATGTAGGGTGTGCCGTGAGGGTCCTGCTTGAAAAAGTCGACCTACACTGCTCATGTGTTACGCCCTCAAGAAGGAATCCATGCTATGTGTACTCCATATTCACTGGTTCGTCAGGCACCTTTCGCTCTATAGGAAGACGTTGAGGCGAGTGAGACTAGGAATGCTGGAGATCGATAACCCTATGGATTTGTTTTCCTCAGGGACTCTGCATAATACTAGATGCTACGTTCCATCCACTAGTGGCTCAGAAGTGTGCTTGATGAGCTACCATAGAGCGGTAGTCAAGAAGGAGAGCGGTAGGGACAGCGGTAAGTGCCTTGAATCTGACAGTAGAGGAAGTACACAGAGTTTTGCTCACATATCATCTATTTGTTGACTGCCTAGAGTTGGTCAAACATCATGGTTGGATTTGGTGTACCAGCTATGTACCTCTGTTTCCCACCTCTCTCCATATCCGCACGAATCAACCTCATATACCTGTACAACATCAAAGATGTTGACGGTATCTTTTCAATTATGACAAATAAAGTCAAGCTAATGATTGAATATCCAGTACATCGATCTTGAACGAGGCTACAAGACATGCCGTTTGCCGGGGGTACAAACCTCTTGGGCTCCAGATTGCGCCCTTCTTGTTCATGTGATGTCTGGCCACATATCTTCCAACTTCAGGGATTGCCGATACGTAGTCCCGCCAAGTTCTAACTCATTTCATCCCTCGGTGCGTTTTGACAAATACTGACGAGAACATTAGTAGTGATTGCCTACAGCCTACAGGAGGCGGCGTCAGTGACAAAAATTTGAGAACTTTGGTGCATACAATGAGGAATTATGGTCTTACATCTCTCCCGTGCCGCAAACCGTAGTAGATATGTATACACGGGCATTGGGTGAATGCTCTAGAAGCCCTACGCGCGTCGTCACTCGACGCGTGTCACCCTTTTCTCGGTGAAGTTCACGATCAGAGTCTTCCCTAGGCATGACACCCATTCGAGTTGTCTCCTTTCATATTTGGAATCTTACCGAGTCAATAATGGCTCAAATTGCGAATATAAGCTCACTTTCTCTCAAAACGGCTCGGAAGCGAAGGTTGCCGGTCAGGAAGCTGAGAATGGTTGACAGATATGTGCGCCACGGCAACGGCACAGCCTATCTAGCCAGTCAAATCTGCAGCTCACGATTCCTGCTATGCATTGCTTATGTCAGAGACGCGGCTATTGGGTGAATCAAGAAGAATAACCGTGGGGGCCTGTGGGGGCGGTTCTTGTTCAGGTTGCTGTTACACGGGCAGTCATGATATAAGATGCTGGAATTGGAATTCCGTGACAAGAACACAATACGCAACTCAAAGAAACTAAAATTTACGAAAAAATTAGTTGCAATGTTGAATTGGCACGATCAAAGCTGCCGGCGACCTGAAGTGTCCCAGCCGGAAGGCTTCGAGACTTTGTGTTGCTCGAGCTGTGGGATGACTGCCCCGCTGTTGGTCGATTTGCAACATCTTTATGCCGATACATCTCCATCTTCCATGCCGGACGCAGCTACTACGATCAAGCTTAGATGGCCAGGTTCTATAACTTTTGTGGGAGAAGTACCCGGCACAAGCCACGAGCATGATTCGCCAGTCGAGTCGCAACCACAACCCCTGTCGGCAGAGAGCAAGGGCGCAGCTAGCACTACAGATCGCGGATTGCGAATCATATCTGTACATAACGATACGGCAGATGCATGCGGCCAAGAAAAAGTATTCTACGAGCCTCTTATCGCCCACAAGATCCGTCTTCTTCGCCTATCCGCTGCGGAACGCCACCATGACCCTATTCACATCGATATCCGCCTTACAGACTTGACCTCTGGCCCAAAATTTGAGGCTTTGTCGTACACATGGGCTGATAACGATGGAGATGATTCGAAATGTGACAGGGTCTATGTTGGAAAGCATTGGGACATCCTCCCGGTCACCAGAAATTGTGCAAGCGCCCTTCGGCGTCTGCGATTTCCCTACCGAGAACGTGACTTATGGGTCGACGCTATCTGTATCGATCAGAGAAACAAGCAGGAGAGGTCTCATCAAGTTGGAATTATGCAGTATATATACGCAGCTGCTGTTAGGGTCCTCATTTACCTTGGCGAGGACTCGAAAGATCCTGATGGCCTGAACCCAGTCCCATGGACCGACGGCAAATACATACACCGGCCTTTGGCTTCGCCTTCTACTCTCGCTGAGAACCCATACTTTAGAAGGGTATGGGTGATACAAGAAATAGCTGCCGCCAGAGATGCTTGGGTGCTCTATGGATCGAGGGGAGCTCGCTGGCATGACTTCCTTGGGGTGACGAATTCCGAAACAGATTCGAATCGCAATAGAGACCTGTCTCTTTCCATTGATCGGCCCATGACGAGAGAAAAACTGCCTAAATGGCTGTACATTTGCAACAAGCCAAGATACATGGAACTGGACAGGCTTTTATATGTTCTATACGCTGCGGCTCAGTGCAAAGCATCTGATCTGCGAGACAAGGTGTTTGCTATACTGGGCCTCTTTCATGGTGCCAACAACGCGAAACTGGTCGCGGACTACACCCTATGTCACCAGGAAGTGGCTATCGGTGTCACAGCATATATCTTTGTCAACCATACCGAACAGATGTGGCGCATCTTCGCGGCGATAGACTCCAAAGACTCTCATGTCATGCCTTCGTGGGTCATGGACTGGTCATCAGAGACCAAAGTGAAACGCCTGGGTCCATATATGGCCGAGACGAAACCCATAGTTGAAGCCGAGGGCAAACAATCGCAGCCACTTTACATCCCGCGCATCTACCGCAATGGATCTTTGGTACTGAAAGGGCGCCTAGTTACACAGGCTGGAAGCTGCGCCTTCAACCATGGAGCACGGGACGGCCCACCTGGAGTTGTGACAGATATCGTATACCAGCAATCTATAATCTGGCATCTGCAAAGTGATTCTCGACCCATGGTCCCATCTGGATGGTGCCAATCTACGGACGAGATTTTCGCTGTCCAGAGCCTGTCTGGGTACTGCCTGATACTTCGACCGATCATGACGAACCCGGAAACGTACCGGTTTGTTGCCATATGCAAGCCCCCCAAAGTGGAACCGATGGCTGCAACCGTCAACCTCTTGGACCAAAGGGTGATTCTGCTCTTTTCAACATGGCGATATGTTTTAGGAGAAGAGTTGAGCAGTGGAGAAATATGGTATTCTTCTGAGCGGTGGGATATGATCAGAGATGTATGTCAAACGGTGAAGGAATGCTGGGTGCTGGAAGATACCATCAGTCGCTTCTTAGACTCCTTGGTTAGGATGCAGACTTCTGTGTCAGCGAGGCTACCACCATATGCGGTTGAGAAAACCCAAGAGGCATTGCGAAGACTTGGAAATACGGTCCCAAAATCGATACTCCTCCAGCAAAAGGGAGTCCTCGCTGACTCTATGCAACTCTCGACGACCCAGAAAAACGCAAATACTTGCCCGCTTTTCATAAAAGAACTACAGTCTCTTGCTGGGATGGTCTGTGAGATTTGTCATCAGCATATGGCAAACACAAGCGCTGTTGACACTTACAGTCTGCTTGGGCAAAGTCTTGCAAAAAAGAAATACTTCCAAAAGCGACGCCAGCCCCTGATGAATCAGAAGATTCACAACGGAAATCTTCATTTGCGAACCAGAGACTTGATTTATTGGCAGATAGCGTCCCAGCTGGATGAAACGTGTCTCAACAGGAAAACTCTCGAACGACTGGAATACATTGCCAGGTCGGCTGAACGAGATCTCCCAAGATACCTGAACTTAAGCAACTACACATCAGAGACCTACAACTACGCCTCCGAGATCAAGACGCATCACCTCTATGACATTTTTCACTTCATTATCAAAAGCATACCTACGACTCAGAAGAGCCTTCTGCGAGCTCGATGGGAATGGGGGTTACGCAAGAACGCCATGAAATCTCCGGGGGCTAAGCAGTCGCTGGACCACCCAGGAACATATATCGACATGGCAGCAGAAGAGTCCTGGATTCATCTCTTTGGTCACTTTCTCGATGACGACATCGATTGTATGCCTTTTGACATGCCGTCATCAAAGATATTTGTTAGTAGGCTGCTGTACGAGGGTCTCGAAGAAAAGGTATTCAGTCTACACTTGATGTTCTCGAAAGGTGAAGACCCGGACAAGAAGCCTCAAACACCTCAGTACAAGCGAATGGTGCAATGGTTGCTGGACTTCCTGAACCTGGAACCAAATTCTGGCAGGGAAGATCTAGATTCCCGCGTCGATTCAGTTGAAGACACGTGGGGGGCCCGTTTCCTCGAAGCATGGAGCAATCTGATGGAGGGACATCGCCCAGGTTCTTTTGATGACGCTGAGCCACCCGAGAGGCAAGAAGCATCGGATAAGGGCTACTTGGCCGACGCAAAGGCAAAGTGGGCGCCCTTACTTGACCTGGTACGGGAGACCGAGGCGCACCTGTATCCTTTGCAGGAATCATTTCTGCAGGCGAATCAACCGATGAACGAGTTGAGAAGTGAAGCTGTGTGGGAGGATATTGTGATAGTTTGAAGAGACGACTTTTCTCTTGCCATCTCACAACGGGCTCTATGAGAATCATTCATTCATGGAAAGATGGAGGAAAGATCACCTAGACTACATAATGGCCAAGGTGACATCCCTGGCTAACGCGGCACATCGGACTGAAAGCTACAAGTGCCCGAAATAAAGAGAATTCTGTACAGACTACTTCAATAGTGTGGAGGTATTGTAGAGGCCTTTACTTGATCCTGTATGTGAGGCTGAGCGTATTGGAAGAAATATCGCAATCACGTCAGCCAAGCCCAACTATCGTGTTCAACATGATGCATAAGGTATCAAGCCGCGGACTGGTATTGACCAGAGCCATTAATCATGGTTCATAGCCACTTATCAACAGAACGAGATGCGCCAATTTATATCTCATACTGTCGGCATGTTGGTCGACAGCGGTTGAGACGACAAGGCGAGAGCAGGAAATCGAAGGCTGCCACATCTCTTGCGGCAGAATGCACTTAGTGATAGATAGTATAGATATAGAAATTGGTGACGCTTTCTGACCGCGGCACTTATGTATTCCGTCGCATGCAGCTAATCCAGCCATGCTTTGCTGATTGAAAAGGGCACAGTGGCTGAATCCCCTACATGTCTGAAGCGCAGCACACATCCAATTGTTTCTTGCACTGAGACTTCAAATCTGCCTTGTCTTCAACCTAATCCACGGGTGAAGCCTTGCCTACACCGATCTGAAATCTATCGTTGGCGCAGTCCCTGCGCCACCGTCTATATATGCATAGTCTCTCAAGCCAATGAGACTTGCGGATGTCGGGTTCCAACATTCATCGCAAAGTTGGGCTGTCAGTCAGGCTGCTAAATACCCCATACCCCGCCGTTGGTGTATTACTTGAATCGATACCTTACTTGCTCTTGCTCGGCCTTCTGGGAACGCTCACATCTTTTGCTATCTTTTACTGTTCTAGCATCATCACGCGGTATTGTCAATACTTGGAACGGGAGCAAGCGATGACGATATTCAATTGGCATGAGTCATGCCGGAGACCTGATGTCAAATTCAATGAAGGTCTGGGTGTGCCGGCATGTAGCAGCTGTGGATGCATTGCTGCACTGGAAGGCATTGTGGAGGCCCAACACCACGATGCGCCATTAGTACCGTCTCCTAGGACAAGATTTGAGCTAACGTGGCCACTTTCGCTACCTTTTGTGGACGATCCCTCAGTCTCTGATCTGCCGGGCAAAATGACGGCGGAACCAAATATATCCTCGTCGAAAGATGTGCGCGGAAACGTCACGCTACATATTGGGAAGCCCACCACAAGCAGCCAAGAGCCTGCGACAGACTCATCTATGCGAGTTGCGGCACCGTATGAGCCTTTATTCGCACGAAAAATTCGGCTTCTGAAGTTACTCAAAGGCAATTACAACGACCCAATCAGAGTCGAGCTTCAAGTCGCAGACTTGACCATCAAACCGGAGTACGAAGCCCTATCGTATACATGGGCAGACGAAAAGAAGGACTCTTCAAGGTGCGAGAAGATTTACATTGGGGAGCGATGGGATATCCTGCTGGTCACCAAGAACTGCTTCAATGCTCTTCGCCGTTTACGATTTTCCTACCGTAGCAGAAGACTTTGGGTCGACGCCATTTGCATAAACCAGAATGATGCGGGCGAAAGGTCTCATCAAGTGGGAATGATGCAAAGCATTTACGCAACTGCCACAAGGGTCCTCATATATCTAGGGGAAAACTCAAAAGACGAAGATACCACTTCTTCATCTCCGTGGAACTTTGACATCTGGAACGAAAGATCATTGCCTAGAGACAGAGATCTTACACAAGAGCCATATTTCAAGAGGGTCTGGGTTATTCAAGAGATCGCTGCAGCGCAAAATCCATGGGTTCTTTTTGGGACGAAAGGAGACCGATGGTTAGATTTTCTCCATCAGGTGGAGGAGACCAAGGCCCGAAACTGCAGCTCTAGCGGAAATTCTGGTGATAGATCAAATCGGCTCCACCAGCTGCAAAATTGGTTTCATGTGCTTCCGCAAGGGAAGCTCATGGATCTGCAAGAGCTTCCAAGGCTCTTACAAGCTACAGCTCTGTGTAAGGCAACGGACCCCCGGGACAGGGTCTACGCCTTACTAGGTCTCTTCCAAGGAGCAAAACAAGCCCAGTTGATAGCAGACTATTCGCTCAGCGTGGACCAAGTTTTTAGCGGCTTGACTGCTTGCATGCTCTGTCAAAGTCCGGCATTCATGCTGCCAATCTTCGCAGCACTTCAGCCGTCAACCTCGTCTCTGCCTACGTCGTGGGCTATTGACTGGTCGTCGGCCAGCATCCTGAACAACATGGGGCCGTACCTACCCGAGGCGAATTCGAAAACATATCTTATCAGCGAACCTCGAGATACTCCTCGCTTCTATCATAATGGTACTATGGTACTTCGAGGACGCCTCGTGTCTCAACTTTCAAGTTATTTGTTCGACTCTGAATCTCGAAAGGGTCCTCCCGGCGTCGTGAAAGGTCACCTTTACCGTATTTCAGATACCCGTTTCGCGGAGGTCGTACCAGACTGGGCCGAGTTGACCGACGAAGTTTTAGAAATCAGAGGGCTGAAGGACCATGCTCTCGTGCTTCGGCCCGTTATGAAGGCACCCAAGGCATATCACTTTGTAGCTGTTGCCAAACAGCCCCAAATTGCCCGAATCACTGAGTTAATCAACCATTTGGATCGCAAGGTGATTCTTCTTTTCTCTGCTTGGCAATATGTTCTCAGAGGCATGAGCAACGGAGCACTCTGGTTTCAAACAGCCACATGGGACGCAATCAAAGCCATATGCTGGGAATTGAAACATGCGAGAAATATGGAAGGCGAGGATAAGGGCTCGTCGGGTTTTGATTTTGGAACCCGACTCCGCGACCAGATCAAGAGCTACGGCCAGAATCGGAATTGGTCAGCGATCAGATGGAAAACAAACAGTGAAATACAAAGAGAAGCAAACAAAAACTTTCTACATCGAGGTATAGAGCAAAGGCTACAAGAGGAATCAACGATCCTGCTGATTTTTGGATGGGAATTGGGGGCTTTTCCGAATAAAGACGAGTCAGGCCGCTATCAGCGCAAGCTTCCATGGAACCCGGCATATTTCGAAGAAGGCCATGTACGAGACTTTTTGCACAGATTTTCAAAGGTATATGGATACGCATACAGGGGGCCAGGCCTACAGCAACCTTCACCAGCAAGATTTGTCAGAGTGCTTCTGAGTCAAGGGCTTGATCAGCAGATCATCACATTTGAGGGAATGTTACGGACGGCCGGCGAAGTCCTTCTACGCTGGGATACGCTCCAGGAAAAGTATGTGCCATGGTCACACGACTCTTTGAATTTGAAGGTCGGGAAATCTCCTGGTTTTGAGTTGTATCATGAGAACATTTGGCATTATGGGCCATCGAAGGATTCGCCTTTCAAGACTTGGGCGGCTGACTTCATTGATTCATGGACCCTTCTGGTAAACAAGAGGCCCCGCAGTCCTGATACTTCTTCTACTACAATTGCTGAACAAGCAATTCCTGAAGAAGTAGTTCCTGAAGAGTTAATTCCTGAAGAGAGAAATGGTGATAAGAGAGGGTTCTGGACTACAGCGAAGTTAATCTGGACGAAATTGGCAGGCCGTTTTGAGACCCCTGAGGTAAAGCCGGCCGAGGTAAAACCTGCGCCCCCAGATGTTGTGAGTGAGGTAAATTGGGAGCCGCTGCTTGATCTTGTAAGAGAGACAGAGGCGCGGCTTCTTCCTCTGGAGGAAGCATTCACCCGTACTGATGATACGTACGACGAAGATATGAAGGATGTCCCTTGGGAGGATATCCGTATAATTTAGTTGGATCTCTTCTTCTTGAGTAGCTTATATGTAGGAGTCAGGCAGGCTTATCTGTTCTTCAAGTAACGACACGTGCTTTGGTGTTCTGGGCTTGTAGTTTCGTTTTGGCATTATGTATTACTCTCATATCTCATATACATCTCAATCCAGCACCACAATCATATATACAAGAACATATACCCCTCGCCATAGCGAAACTACACCTAACACCCACAAACATTGAACAGCGCAACAGAAGGATCATGATCGCTAACAAGATCATCGTACAGCTCCCACGAGTTGACGTGGATGTGTTCGTACGCGGTGCCGTTCTTGTTCGCCAGCGCGGGGCTGACAAACATGTGGTCCAGCTCCTGCGCGTTCATGTCGTAGACGTAGGTGTAGCGCTCCTCGACGGGGACGCCGACGGCCTCGTCGAGGTCGATGAGGCCCGAGGTGGAGGCAAAGACCTTGAGGGGCTCGACAAAGGCGAATTCGTTGAAGTCGCCGGCGGTGATGACGCGGGCGTTTGCGTCGAGGGCGAGGATCTCGGCGATGAAAGACTGTAGTATCAAGTTAGCTTAGGCGCCTTTGGAAGTTTGGAGTGATGGGGGAACGTACGCCGGTGATCTTGGCCTGCTCGATACGCGGGTTCACGACACCGTTGACGGGAGGACGGGGGTCGCCGTGCAGAGACGAGGAACCGCCCTTGGACGCAAAGTGCACGTTGACGGTGAAGAAGGTCTTGTTCACAGGCCCGTTAATGGCGCGCCACTGCGCGACGAGGGGCTTGCGGCTGGCGTCCCACGCGGTGTTGGTGGGGTCGATGCGGCCCGGGTTGTACTTGAGCGCGGGGCCCTCGAGGACCTCGTTGGCGTCGAGCGCGCCGCCCGGGTTCGGCTTGTAGAGCTCGACGACGTCGGGCTTGTAGAGGTACGCGACGCGGATGTTGCCGCCCGGCTGGCCGCCGTCCTTGCCGTCGACGGGGTCAATGACGACCCAGTCGTACGCGACACCGGACTTGGTCTCGATGGCGGCTGTCAAGGTGGAGAGGGTGAGGTTGGAGGAGACGACGCCATTGTTGGTGGCGCCGTTGTCGTCTTGGATCTCTTGGACGAAGACGAGGTCGGGGGTCTTGAGGTAGTCTACGATGTGGGCGGCGACGGAGGGGAGGTGGGCGACGGTCGGGGAGAGGTTCTCGACGTTGTAGTCGCCGACTGTGATGCCTCTGCAGTCACCGCGGCTGACGAGGGTGGTGGCGGGCGCGTTGTTGGTGGCGTTCTTTGCGATTGTGATGCCGGTCAGGGGCAGGATGCGGTAGAAGCCGAAAGCGTTTGTGACGATGCCGGTGATCTCGGCGAGCTCGTCGCCCATCTTGGACTCGGGGTTCTTTGTGCCGTCGAGGGGGGAGCCGATGATGATGGCCTCGGGGTTGGAGTCTTGTTTGCCGTGTTAGTGACTTGTATGTTTCAGAGAAGACAGACTATGTATACCCTTGTCAGACATGGTGAGACCGCCGTGCGCATTGCGGCCGGTGACGGGCCAGTCGCCAATGACCCAGGTGTCGCCGTACTGGTTGGGGCGAGAGATGCCAACGGGGCTCTTGATTGTGACGAGCTCGCCGCTCAGCGACTCCCAGAAGTCGAGGCCGTAGAGGGCCGGGTTGAGGACGGGGTTCTCGGTGGAGATGTTGGCGACGGCGTTAGGGACGGCATAGACGTCGCCGCCATCGAGGCTGCTGTACTGCTCCGTCGGCGGGGGCAGGGTGTCGACGCCGATGACGAGCGGGGTGACCGCGTTACCTTTTGAAACGACGACGACGTTCTTGGGGGAGCTGAGCTCTGTGAGGTAGATGTAGTTCGTGGCGGACCTGTTTTTTGTGTTGTTAGAAGAACTCTACGTGTCATTGAGAGCCCAATACTGTATCGTACCTGTACTCCTGGATCTTTCCATCCAGAGTGATGAGGTCGCCCACGGTCAAGTTCGCGCCGACGGTGCTGCCGTAGACGTAGAGTGCCTCGGAGGTGGCAGCGTCATCGTCGGGTGTCGTCGAGCGGATCCAGATTCCGGCAGGCCCCTTTGCGAGAACAAGACCGGTGACGTTGGTCACGGACTGGTCCTTGTACGGGGAGAGGAACTTGTTGCCGTTGATCTCGGCAATGGTCAAGGCCGAGGCGGCGCCGGCGGCGGAGAGGAAGAGGGAGGTGACCTTCATCCTGACAGTGTACACCGCGTCAAAACGAGAACAAACGACTACGGAAGCTATTCACTCTTCTCTCTGGAATCGCAACGTCCTGAGCACACAAGAGCAAGAGAGGGATCGTCCATGTTTACTCCCGTCGCGGGGCAAGTCGCCACTATATGTAGGATGGAGCTGAACCTCTTCAGCCCATGATTGCGGTCCCGTTTCCCCTGGTCAGGGTCGTATCGAGCCGAGAGAGTTGCAAAGTGCCAAGAAAGTTGCACCATATCGCTTCGCTGGGTCCCCCGGGATCCAGCGATCCATTCCGCCCTTGCATCGCGGGAGCTGCCTGCTTTGCATGTGAGCAACCCGCGTCGGATGCGCTCCAAGAGTCCATGTACGCGATAAGATTGGACAACGAGAGAGAGGAGGGCGCGGCCAGCTCCGATGTTACGCACTCGATATCTCTTGACTTGTAGCCTGTAAGGCCCGTTAGCCTTCCTCACTGGAGGGAAACGGCAAGACAATGATTCTTTCCCGTCGAGCGGAGAGCGGAGAGCAGGGGTCCTGTCGTATCAATCGACCTCTTAGAGCGATGCGTGCCTGGCACGTTCTTGTCAGGTTGTCATAAGAAACCTGGGCTAACGGCACCGGCAGAGACATTAGATGAGCCCCGCATTAGCCTTGATTGACTTCAACCCCCCCATCGCGGCGCTGTATTGGTTGGCCATGGCTCAATCGGGAAGGTGAAGGTTTCCTGCGAGGGCGGGAGAGTGGCCTAGCTGGTGTCTAGTTCAGTGGGGAACAACCCGGCCTAAGCATATCGAAAAAGGTTGAATTGAGAGACGGGTGTGTGGGGGAAAGGCGAGCGGCGGAACGTTGGAAAGCAATTTTGCTTCTAACCCTGGGTCATATCTATACGGTATATCCATACGGAGTGCAGAGATAGGCAATGAGAGAGAGACTGGATACACAATCAGCGTGTCATTTCCAATACTACAACCATGATAGGAGTAGCAACCAAGGTGATCCGAAGAGCCGAACAAACCGCAAGACAAGCCGGACCAACTCCCCTCCTAGGACAAGTCTGCTCTCGAGGCCAAGACCTGGGTGGACGCGTGGTGTCTTGCTGTTGTTGGTCGAGAGCCGTTGCTGGCAAGGTGGAGGAGGAGGCTAAGAGTAGGGAGCGAAAGTCAATTACCTACTCTAAAAAGATGGACAGGGAGTCGTTGAGGGGCCGCTAATCTGCGCCTTATCGCCTGCCAATCATCTGTCTCACGTGTCGATGACCGACCGCCGGCCCCGGAGCTCCAACCCCGGTCGTCCCTGGATGTGCCCCTGTCTATCACCGCTACCAAGATTCTACGTAGTAAGCTTGACTCGACTCCGCTGGGCCCCTTCAGCTCCCTCCCTCACGGCTGAGTACCTGCCCTCACATTCTTTGCGTAGCATCTTGAACTCGCATTCATGAACATGCAATCAACAATCTATGATGCACCACACCTCATAATACTCATTTGAAGAATCTTCGGTCGAATTCTCACTATCATGGTATCACAACTAATCTTCTTCAAAGATGGGGATCTGGCCTAAAAACTGCGGTGCACACCTTCACTCAATTTCCTACAAATGAAAACTGTCCCAGAACATTACAAAGAGTTGTACAAATCCCAAGGACCTCTTGGCCATTGAGTGAAGTTTCCCGTAGATGCCTCAGAAAACCCTTGGCGACGACAGGAACAGCTGCCTACTGATATCTCAAGCGAGATCAGGCTAGCAAAATGTATGCACCAACAAAAAATTCATTTCTTTTCCGACCTCGAGACATACACACTCGGAAACAGCTCTACCAGCGTAGCTGCCTTTGCTTCAGACTTGCCACCGGTCGAGCCCGTCAAAGACCGCTCCGGTGATCGCTGGGACCGCCCGGAACCGTCCCAGGCTCCGACTCGGCTTGTTGCCCTGGGGCCCCGGCATCTGGAGCCGCTCAACACTCGAGCGTCCACTCCCGCTTACTCCAGATCGGCTTCCTCCTCGTCGCGCTGGACAAGCTCGTGGTCGTCACGCTCAGCCAGGTCATGCTCTTCGCGCTGTTCCAGGTCGGCTGACTCCTCGTCACGTCCGAGAAGACCGCTGAGAAGGGCGAGAGGGTCAGCCTGGGCCTTGTTGGCACCACCGTTGGCAGCGTTTCCGCCTGCAGCGCCTCCACCAATCTGCAAGTGAATGTTAGCTAATATTCAATGGCATGCGCCTCTGGGGCTACTTACGCTCTCGAGGATGGAAGAGAGGATGTTGTTGCCGTCGGCTGCCTGGTTGTTCTTCGCAGCGGCGCCTCCAGCAGCGTTGTTCTTCTTGCCGTTCTTGCCGTTCTTCTTCTTGCCACCAGCGTTCGCGGTTCCGTTGTTCGCAGCACCTCCAGCGGCACCACCGGCGGCACCACCAGCAGCCGCGCCGCCAGCTGCGTTGTCGGCTCCGTTGTTCTTCTTGGCAGCGGCGTTACCCTTTGCAGCCTTGGCCTTCTTTCCGCCAGCCGCAGCGCCGTCGGCGGCGTTGGCAGTTCCGTTGTTGGCAGCGCCACCGTTGTTCTTCTTGGCCTTGTTCTTCTTGGCTCCGGCAGCACCGGCGGCAGCGTTGTTCTTCTTGCCCGCAGCCTTGGCCTGTGCGTTCTTCTTGCCCTTCTTGCCCTTCTTCTTGCCTCCGGCGTTGGCAGTTCCGTTGTTGGCGGCACCGCCGGCTGTGGCTCCTCCGGACGTGGCACCACCGGCAGCGGCACCGGCTCCTCCGGCTGCAGCGGCGTCCTTGGCGGCCTTCTTAGTGGCGACTCCGTTCTCGCCTGCGTTCTCGCCCTCCTGCTGGACGTCGGCGTTGTCACCGGCTGGCGTTGAAAGTTAGATAAGTTCCGGACGTTGATGTGTGAGTTTCTTTGACATACCTTGCTCGCCCTTGGCGCGGCGCAGAACAGGCCTAACATCAACCTGAGCCGGGAAGTTCAGGTCTCGGACGGGCAGAGCCACGGATCGGTCCTCCTGGGTAGGGAGGGCGATGACCTGGGCGGCGATGGCCGCAATGGAAAGGAGGATAGAGCTCTTCATTTTGAAGGAGTGCTGAATGTCTCTAGTCAAAGAGATGAAGGAAAAAGTTGATGGTATAATTTACAACTGAAAAGGGTTCACAGAACCTGGAGAGAATGGAATGTGAGAATGGAAGAAATGAGAAAGGCACTCAAGGAAAGACTGGACCAGCCAAAGAGAAGGAACTGAACCAGAAATGTTGTTGTGTTGAAGACTTGAGAGTGTCGAGAGAAGAGAAACCGAAATCAAGGCCAGATCGGGCTGGGTTGATATAGAGTATAAGCTTCCTGGGAATCTCACTCGGATCCAGATCCCTCGGAATATCATGCCGCAGGTAGAGCAGGCACAGATTGCACCCATGAGGTCACAGTGCCAAGGAATTGAGACGTCTTGTCAAACAAATGAGGTGAACGCTATCTTTGCCCAATGTCACCATGTCAGCCATGTCACAGACTGTGATCCATCGCGAGGGCAGTGCAGTTTGGTGGAGCAGGGGAGTCGGGTCCTCAGTTTGAGAAAGAGACGTTATGGCGAATGGGAAGAGGTGTGTGCCAAGCATCACGACGGTGCCATGTCGCGCCAAACCCCGGAGCAGCCGTGAGCCGGGGAAAGCGGAGACGAGGTCCCAAAATAAAAAGAGAGCAGAAAAGGTGTCTGTAGCCGATTGATGATGGGCATCGCTACCATGCGTTTGCGGTTGAGGGTGCCAGTGGTGGCCATGGAGGGCGACTGTTGATCAGACGGTTGGTGATTCAGAACGGCCCCGCCGCGGCGGATTCTTGTATGTACCTCTCCAGAACTGAGGCTTGCGGAGGTGGGACGGGTCCCCAACGGTGGTGGCTGCTTGACGGTGGCTAGACCTGGTAATAGGCTGCATCCAGCCATCATCCCGTACTCTGCACACACAGAACGTGGGAACTAGTGTCCGTCCTGCCTGGCTGGCATGTGTTGTTAATGCTTGTGCGGTGGTGGCATTCCCAAGGTCGCGTACCTTGCGGTTAGTGGAACAGCCATGGGGGTTGAAGGGTTTGATCGGAGGACAGGTTGTCAAACCTGGGATGAAACACCGCCCAAAAGGGCGCTTGGCCAAAATCGCGAACGCCTCTCGCTTCCCAACAAGAGTCTTCCTTCCCCTCTGCGCGCGACTGTCTCCATCCCAAGACGCTGGTGACGAGTGGGATGCCGCCCATTTGAAGAGTGAGGTGCCAGGATGGCGTTTGAAGGATGAGCATGCGCGAAGCGATGAAGTCTAAATTTCAGAAGTGCAACGATACACCCTGGGTCGTTTCTTGACAAGCAGGGGAGTCTCTCGTGAATCAGAACCGGCCCCCTAGGCGTTGCAGAAGCAAAAAGTGGCCTGAATGGCAGGATTTGCAAAGACTTGTTGGATCTCTGCTAGGGCACCGGTTACGATGGCCGTAATAGTACACTGCCAGTACGAAGTAGCGTATAGCAACCAAGACACGCTCCGAGTCCCCACGAGCTTGATTTGTGAGCCGCAATCAAGCGTTGAAGGGTTGAAGCTTGGCCCTGGTCGATACCGTTACATCGCTCTCCTTCTTCCGTCATTCGCCGCACTACTGTTCCTGAAGGCTGTCTGATTTGCAGTGTCTGCTTAGGCCTTTAGAAATTGGGGGATCTCGACTGGAGAGAGGCTTGTTTGGAAGCGGTGCCGCGGGTTGCGGTTGCTGCGCCATTCCGTCCCATTCCATGCCGTCCGTTCCCATCCCTTCACAGTTCACACAATAAATGCCGAGGGCTAGAACACAAGGCAACGTTGGGAGTCTCCGCACCCTGGTCGACATGGCTCGAGGGTTGAGGGATCGAAGTCGAGAGAAGGGACGGTGTTTCAACTGGTGCATCGAATTGCCAAGGACTTCTGTCTCGAGGAGATTGACAAAGTCGGGCGATGATCGTCGCGCAACACTGGCCAAGACCACAGCAGCATGGCGTTCTTGTTGAGGTGGGAATAACAGGCCAGAATTAAGAAATACCAAGAGAGACGCTCGGTGTTGGCGATGCTTCCGGCCTCGGTTGCGAGTATCAGAAATCTCTTGGTTTCTTTTAGTTTTTCCAGGCCTGGCTTGTAGTTAGTAGTCTTGGACCTAATCTTGGAGTCTTGGCTTTGGTCAGAGTCAGAGTCAGAGTCAGAACCAGACCTCAGGCAACTTCTGGAGTCTGGAGATCACCGGGGCGGCTCCAGTATTCCAGAATTACAGTAGAGGCCAAGCATTTTGGCGAGGGGAATCAGGGGATGAACGGATGTGCTGCGATCCTGTTTGGGAAATCATGGAGAAAGGAGGCGGGAGAGCAGAGCAGTGATCGGCGAGCGAGGAAAATCAGACACAGGAGAGAGGAGCTTGGTCAATGATGCCGGTGCATTGCTTTCCCCACGAGAATTGAAGAGGAGACGGACGGTTCGCATCACTTTGACTGAAGGGGGGTCCCTCCTTCCCAATTTCTCTTCCATAACCCGTCTTTTCCATTGGGTCCCGGGTTGTCTTCCAGCCCTCCAGATCCCCAGCAAGTATTCGCCCCAAGTTCCCAACATGGCAGCAGCAGTCTGTGAGTCCCGTCGTGACTGCCCTGTCATGCGATGTGGTCGACACAGACTCGACCCGAGCAGAAGGAAGGCCCCATTGGACTCCCGTCTTGGCAAGACCCATCACAATCACGTGGCTGCCCTCCTCGCACTTGCTCTTTCTCTCCCCTCTTCTGTCTCTTGCTTCCTTCCATCATCAGGCTACCTTCATACCTGCCTTATCTTTACGGTAAGGTACTTCGTGGACGTGCCTTCCTTGTGCATCAACAGAGGCTGAAGCACAGTCCAAATCACGTGGGAGGTGACGAATCCCCATTTCAGATGTGGTTGGGTCTTCCCTTCCACTGCGGCTCTTCAACACGTGGGACACCGCATGGCTGGTACCATAAGGTTCCTTGCTGTCCCAAACTTGGGATTTCAAATGACTCTATCCTCTGCACACGCCTGTTTTGCTTCGAATCGTACAGTTCTGTATTTAGCAAAGATGAACACAACCAACTTCAGACGACGTGATGGTGGTGGTCAGATGTCGTTATCGCTCCCGGATGAGTCAATTACCTACAGCCGTCTTCCACTGAGGCTGCCCAAGGCTCCAATGGCACAGTAGACAGCTTTTCAACCTTCTACACGCCTCGCCCTACATGACACCCGCCACATACATCAATCATCTCAAGTCTGGAGAAAGTCATCTCATCAACATGAACCTCTAACTTGGACGGTTCCACGGTCAGACTGGATGCGTCCATCGGCCCCCGACTCCAGGTTTCCTGTCTTTTTCTGTCAGTGCTGATGCATTCATTCATCTCCGACGCTCACACCTGACCTACAGGCTACGGAGTACCTGGTCAGACCAACACGCCGTATTGTGTCGATGCACGGGGCCCGAGTCGTCCGATGCAACTTCCTTGACTAGCACCAAAATCCTGCCTGACTGCTCGGCGATGCTGCTTCGAGCCGATCGGTTTTCGTCCCTTTCTTACATCGGACATTCAATCCCCCATCGTGGTTGACGTCGACTGTCATCTGGTCCATCAGTCCAAGATGAGACCGGTTCCGCTTTGGGCAATTCACGGGGTGGCTGTGTCTAGCTGCCGCTATGCCGCACCCCGAGACAGGCACACCTTGATTTGATTGGCAACTCCACGTCAACACCACCAAACTTGGGCCCCTCTGCCTAAGGCTCTCACCGTCTTACCTCGAGTCTGGGAATTTACGGAGGATTGCGGCGTGTGATGCGGTGACTGCAGGCCCGTCGCTTCCATTCTGTTCTGTCCTTTTCCCAGTCAATCTCATACCATTTCCATTCATTTCCTTTTGTCTTGACGTGCAATAAGTTTGGGCGTACTGCAACTCTGTTTTGGAATTGTTCTCTTCAGTTTGGCACCTCGTTTTGACGCTATTGCTAGTAAACGAAGTCACAAAGCGTTACATTCGGCTCATGTTTTGTTTGAAATCCCACTTTGATTAAATTGCCTCACTCCCTTGGTCTTGAAACACCATCAGCGACACGAGAGTCCCCCGGTGCCCGCTAGCACCATGTGGGTCCCGCAGCCGGCTTGTTCTCCCGGCCTTGACAACTCTCTCGGTCCGTGGGCCGGAGAATTGTGCCGGGGCGGATTCGACTTTACACTTTTCTTCGAGGAGGCCATACTGGCTGTTCCCCTGCAATCTCTCCTCCTGCTGTTGCTCCCCACATGTGCCTTACGCCTGGCAAGGTCCGATGTCAAAGTTGTGCCCAGCACCCTGCGCTGGCTCAAAGCTGTTAGTCCTGGCAAACTGCTTCCTACCACAATGGCTGATCTCGAAAGTCTGCATCCATTTCTCTGGCTGCTCTAAACTTCGCTCTTCTGATCCTCTGGATCACTACACCATCGACAACCATCACCCATACGCGCGCGACCATTCCCACCGCCATCCTTAGTCTGATTGCCTCGATAGGATTGGGTCTGTTGTCATGGCTCGCCCATCAACGGTCCGTAAGGCCGTCATTCGTCCTGTCAGTTTACTTGTTTCTGTCAATTCTGTTTGACACTGCTCGTGCCCGAACTTTGTGGATGCTGGGGCCCCATCAGACCATACCCGCCATCTTCACCTGTACTCTGGCTGTCAGAGCTGTCATGATCCTTCTAGAATCAACAGAGAAGCGCAGGATCCTAGTTCCAGAACACAAAGGATACTCCAAGGAGGTCACCAGCGGCACTTTCAACAGATCAGTCTTCTTCTGGTTGACGTCACTCTTTATCAACGGATACAGAAACATCCTTCAACTAGATGACCTCTATCCACTGGACCCGAAGCTAGCCTCAGAGCCGCTCTACAGAAAACTCGCCGGCGCGTGGGACCAAGGTAATCTATTTTCGGCCCCCAAACTAAAACACGAAATGTTCCGCGGACTAATCTATCTGATTTCTACACAAAAAAAGTCCCCGACAAGACGGTCCCCGGCGCTTTGTTCAGCACCTGGCTCCGCGCCTTTGCC